AACAGCCACAATGATGGGGGATGATGGGCAATAATAATAATAATAATATCATTGATACTACACATTGATCATATGATAAAGGCTGTTAACTTTGGTGTTTTGTGTCACTGCAGACAATTTCATATTACAGCTTTAATACTGGCCTATGCTGAAACTGTTTGTCAACATGCCTTTACAATCAGTCTTCTTTCTCTTAATGTCATCTAGAATAATCTCTTTAGATTTGTATGAACGTGCTTTTTTTTTTTACTTGTTAGGCTAAAGATTATATTTAGTCTAAAAATGATCAGGATCATTCTTAAATACCAAACGTGTAATTTTCTGTATATAATCATAGGATGTAAATTCACCAGGTGTCAATAAACCCTTACCGAATGCATGCATATTATCAGTACGGCTGTTGTGTGGTTGTTGATCAGATTTCAAACAGGACTGCCCTCCTCGGCCAGATAACAGATTTATAAATCCACTTTGACCACACAACTTGTCTTCAGAGAACCTCCGACCCATCATGACCCACACCAGTGTTCACCTTTGTGTCAGCTGAGGTGCAGCACCAGCCTCTTAAAAGCAGATGTAGACAAAAAAAACTTGCTGTAAGAAGGCATCATGTTTTAATTTAACCATCTTACTGTTGTGCAACACTGGTATAGAATATCTTTCTGACATCCCATGTATTGTATGTATGGTTGAGCATAGAGTCTCACAATGTTTCCTCCAACAGTTTATTTTGTAGAGTTTCAGAATGTCTCTTTGGTGACTCCTAGTGGTAAAAAGTCAACAATGCATGGTGCTATATTTTATGTAGCTTTTATATCTGGTCAATCAACCTGGAACAGAAAAACAAGGGCTTTCATTCAGAAAATGTCACCATTCTAATATGCAATCTATTGTTCGTTTGTACAGCCAGTGTTAATATGTTTGGATCTTGCCATTGAGGTAACAGACTGCAAACATTAACTTTATTTGGAGTTGCATCCAGTTTAATTCTCATGCAACCTTGATGAACTAGCCTATATATAGTTTGAAAGCACAAACCCCTTGTGGACCATTTTCAGTATCATTGCAGTCACAGCTGGTTGTTCTGTAACAGGAATACACTAAAAATAAAATCCACTGTAAATTTAGGTTAGTATCACTATTGTCTTTTTGCTCCAGGGTCAGGAGTGACAGTAACCATTTTGTTTTGGGTACATCTTTTTGGGCTTTGAATTGTCAAGATTCATCCATCCTCTTCCTGCCTCTTATCCAGAACTGAACTCATAAGCACAAAGTATCTAACTTCTTTTGTATTCATATTGTATTCTTTTGTATTCATATTGTTTTTTATTCATACTGGTTTTATTTAAAATCAGAAAGGAAATGGCGCG